TATATTTTGTGAAATGTGTTGACCAGTATCTGTCGGTGACCCCAGGAGAATTACTGTCTGTTGTAGTAGTTATTATCATAGTGATCAGTAAGGACCGATGGGGAACGGCTGGAACGTGATAAAAGTTTCTTGATTGTACCAACAACCTTGACATTTGAAAATCACTCAAGAAAGATATATTGTATAGAGAGGAACTATTATATCCAGGGCCGGGTTGGCTTTCGTAGGCCTTAGGCACCTCCAAGATATGGGGCCCCATTTGACAGCATATTCACTAATAACACAAGCTAGTACCTAATTATAAAATGTGATGTCGAAAGAATAAGATTCAGTGATGTTTGCCATGAATTGAGTAAAAGAAAATGGGTTAGATCAGCTGTTCTTGTACAGTACAGAAATAGTTATGTTTACAAGAAGCACAGCTAGCTGGTGGACACTAATAGGATTAAGTAATAAATAAATGGAAAAAAAGTACCTCAGTATCAATTTAATAATAACCTGTAGAAAAAGGGGAAGAAAAGTTCTCGTTTTATTTTCCGTAGGCCCCCATTATCTCGTAGGCCCTAGGCACTGTGCCTACTGTGCCTAATGGATAATCCGGTACTGATTACATCATTCAATTAATGTTTGACCTCCCGACTGCCACGCAATCTCTCGAGGAGCTCCGTTGTCATAGAAACCGTACATAGTACTGTACTTAAGAAACTAATTCTATTTTTATCATAACTATTTTAACTATTTACGGCATCAAAGCTGAGCTTTGATGCCGTTTTGTATGGTGAGGGAGCTTTCAAAGCTCCCTCACCATACAAAACGTGTCGCTGTTTAGAGAACGATCTTTTCTTAACCCTTAGGCCCCGGGTGACGTTCCAGAACGTCTGACTAGTGCGCCCCGGGTGACGTTCCAGAACGTCCGCCTATTTTCCCTTTTTTTTTTTTTATTATTTTTTAAAATATTTTTGGAAAAGTTTATTTTTTTCTCGACTTACCCAGCGGGGGTGGTACTGCCAGCAGCACCCTAACCCGTGGCTTAAGGGTTAAGCGCAGACTCCTGTCATAATCTGTATATGTTTTTTATTCTTCGCATCCATTGCATTTCTACCCAACTTGTACCGATGATCTAAGGTAATTTTTGGTAATTTAGTAGGAAACCGTTACTACCAGAAGGTGACAACTTTTTAGGTAAAATTTTTAGTTTTGGTCATTCCTGTATTTAACCTAACCTAGCCGATTCCTCAGGTGACCGAAACTAAAATAATAATACCTGTACTTATTTTAATTATAAGTATTTTTTTTTTTCTCTTTGATCATAAATCACATGTAGTGGGCAGGGTATGGAGGATGAGGGAAATTGCAGGATAAGACATGGTGAAAAACTGATCATCTGACACTAAAATGATTCCACTGCTTTTTACATGAAGAAATTAATTATTTACAGTAAATACTCCTCGGAAAAATCTACCTTTATTGGTGCGTGTTGTCTGCACTTTTTGTTTGCAACCGACCCGCTAAGTCTAAGCGTACTCTCACATCCACAAAAGAAAAAAAATATGTAAATAAATTACACCATGATGCTTTAACAAAGTTGCTTTCATTGGTACCAGATATCAAAATATTGTTTAATATGGAGGGGGGGGGGGTGTCCAAGGGTGCAGAGCCTCCAGCTAGGTAGGTTAGGATAGGATTCTTTGGTTTGTTAGGTCAGGTTCTAGTAAATGTTGCTTCTTTTAAAATACTATAATGATAAGAATATATTATGAAAGAAAAAGGAAAAATATTCATACCCCCTACTGTTTCTTGTGGTAGCCGTGTTCTCATACATTACAGTACCTAGTTTTTAGACAGAAATAAGGTAATGTTCCTTCAATAAAAAGAGGCAATAACATCAATAAGGGATATAGGTGGTAGATAAATATAAGTTAAGAAAATACTGAAAGCAAGCAAGCAAGCATATACACGCTGGAGTTGTTTTTGCAAACTTCAGGTCCATGCCCGGTGTTTCCTGAGCAGTTTGGTTGTGGGGCACATCTTTTTCATTCTTGAAGCTGTATATGAAATGAAAAACCATTAAATGGAGTCTTCGCAAGTATGTGATATAATATGAACACTTCTCCGTGTGAAAAAAAAAAAAATGTATACCGTATATACGTACCTTGTATTAGAATCTGAACTTTTCATCAGCAGTGCACAATAAAGCTGATTGTTTTGTTTATCAGTGTTACAATATGAACTACAGTACCAGGGAACATCAGGTTAAGGTTACCCATGTAAAGAACCAGGTGGAGTGTAGAAGATATTTTAGTGTTTGGTGCATACGAACATGGAATTCTCACCCAGGTCATGTTGCTTCTCTAACTAGTATTAGAAATTCTTTACTTTAGCTCCATTCTGTTATTTGTATTGTTAATGAAAAAATTTCATTAACAAATTTGTTTCATATAAGTACCAGCTTTTAATGAAATAATATACAGTATAGTCTGCATTTACGTGGTCAATTGAACCCGTGGAGGCCCGCGTAAACCGAGAAACGCGTAAATGAAATAACAGAACATATGGGATTAATTGAAATAAGAGACTGGGCCGACCCCCAAACTCCACTTTTTCCGACACAATACGTATGTTGTAGTAAAAATAACATCTTAATTTTATGATGGTATGCACACACAGTTAATAATTAAGAGAATTATCAATAATATTAGGTTTTTTAACACTTACGTCAGTAGAAAAGCTGGGTCGGCACACTTGGATGGCGGCTGGTTCTGAGGCAGAGGGCAGATGCCCTCCGGTGAATCACTTTCACTTTCACTACTCGCAGAGGTTTGCAGGGCCTCCCAGACAAACCCCTCAAAGTCCATATCCTCACTGTCAATATCACTATCACTGACTTGGGCTGGCTGTGGTTGTGGTGGGTTGCGGGCGAGAAAGTCCTCAATACCACATTGACGACTAGCATTGATGTTGTCGATATAGATCTGGATATACGGCTCCATAAGTTTCGTCAGATGGTTATTAGACGCTTCATACCGATGCTTGTCCGGGTCGTTGTCAAAGATGAGCTTAATTTTCTCCCCCAACTCGATCATTTCTTTCACATTATCATGGCTTGGACCAGGTAATTCAATGTTTTTCTCTGGTGGTGGGGGTCCTGCGGAAGCCATTGTGAGTTGTGAGGGGAATAGCGGGCACAAGAGAGAACTGTATACGCCGACTGAGAACAATGAGACAGGCCCTGCTAGGTCAGCGACTTATACCCTCTGGTGGCAGGGCATGTCGTGTTACATTAGACCAATCACAGCTTGCGGCGGAGGGAATGCGTGGGTGGTAAGGATGCGTGGCCCAATCACAGTCCGATACGTCATATGACATCAGCGATAACGTAAGAGCGGCCTAATGCGCACCACTCACCGCGCCGCTTCCCGCGTATGGTCAAGAATGGACCGCGTGGGTAAAAAATGGCGCTGCGGTCTGGACCTCTCCAGCCGCTCGCCACGTAAATGACCAAATTTACCGCGTAATTAAAGCATTCTCATTCTGGCAAGGCACTGCGTAAATGACCAAACGCGTAAACAAAAACCGCGTAAATGCAGACTATACTGTATACTATACTGTATTATATAGTAATTCATCCTTCACAAACCACATACTACCTGTACTTCAGTGTTGAAGTACAGTATGTGCACCATACAATTCTCCTTCTTCCTCCTTTCACCATCATAACTTAATACTGTACCCACTTGCACTCTTGTATCTTATTTTTTTTTAAGATAATTTTTATAAAGTGAGGTAATTAATAATAATAATAATTAACGGTGTATTGAAAAAGTTCTGCATCCCGAAGGCTGAAAATATACATTGGACATAAGTGACTTATTACATGCATTGGTGGTTTAACAAAAGCCTTCATTAGAGAAAGGTAAAGGAACATACAGTGAACATACAGATTAATGAAGGTGTTGAACAGCAAACACGTCGTGTAGTAACTCCCTCCCAGATGGTGTTATGAGGGGCCTCACGTGGTGTAGTAACTCTCTCCCAGATGGTGTTAGGAGGGACCTCATGTGGTGTAGTAGTTCCCTCAGATGGTGTTATGAGGGACCTGATGTGGTGTAGTAATTCCCTCACAGATGGTGTTATGAGGGGCCTCACGTGGTGTAGTAGTTCCCTCAGATGGTGTTATGAGGGACCTCACGTGGTGTAGTAGTTCCCTCAGATGGTGTTATGAGGGACCTGACGTGGTGTAGTAATTCCCTCACAGATGGTGTTATGAGGGACCTCATGTGGTGTACTAACTCCCTCACAGATGGTGTTATGAGGGGCATCACGTGGTGTAGTAATTCCCTCACAGATGGTGTTATGAGGTGCCTCACATGGTGTAGTAATTCCCTCACAGATGGCGTTATGAGGGACTTGACGTGGTGTAGTAATTCCCTCACAGATGGTGTTATGAGGGGCCTGACGTGGTGTAGTATTTCTCTCACAGATGGTGTTATGAGGGACTTGACGTGGTGTAGTATTTCTCTCACAGATGGTGTTATGAGGGACTTGACGTGGTGTAGTAATTCCCTCACATATGGTGTTATGAGGGACCTGACATGGTGTAGTAATTCCCTCACAGATGGCATTATATGAGTGAGGTGTGGTCCCAGGCCTTCCTATTGTAGACGGATTAACACATCGCTGGTTGTTGTTGGGTCTCACGGGCCGTTATCACTGGGTACCTGGGACTTCACTGTGTGAAGGTTAACTTGGGTACGACTGTTACTGTTGAGTTGTTCTCACTGACTTAAGCACTGTTCACCACTGTTCACCTCTGTTTAACACTATGATTATACCACACTCACATGTTGTAAGTATGTTTTTTTTTAATTGTAGAGGTGAATATTAAGTACCGGTACAGTACTGCAATGTTTTTTAATACCTGCAGCATTAAGGATATGAAAATTATTGGCATCATTGTTGTGTCATCATATTTGTAAAGGTTGTTGTTTCTAACATTACAGAGTGGAGGATGCATCAACAATGAGCCACAGTCTTGAGGGTCGGGCAGTGACCGTAGTGATCGGTGACATCACTGCCCCGGCCATTACTGTCACCAGGCACAAACACCAACCAGTACAGTATGTCTTCACAACTTGTCTTACTAATAATTTTTTATCACAGTATTATAATACAGGGGTGGTACCTTATGTGTACCATACAGTACTAGTGTCACTGTTTGGCTTTATTACTGTACAGTACTGTACTGTATGATCAAGGGCTTATACTGTAAATGTACTGTTCAGTGCAGTATTTTGATTATAGTATAAAGTTAACACAGTACAGTACTGTTGAATGTACAGCATGGTTTCATGTTTTACTCCAAGCTAAGTACAGTATTGTACAGTACACTTACTGTATATGTAATACCTGTAGTTTGAATAATGATATTAATGATCTTATTCCAAATTTGTCTGGGGGAATACTTTTGGAAATACTGTACTGTAATTACCATACTGATAGTACTGTGCAGTATTCTAAGTACAAGTACTGTAACACTTAGGTAGTTGCATAATTTCATATGAAAATTGGGAAGAAACAAGAGAGAGAGATTGAAATAATAGAACAATTAACTACAGTATTTTGAGGATGTAGGGAATATGGTTTGAAGTAAAATTATGCATTGAAGCTGTAGGTGGAAACATATGCCATTAAAATGGTGTTCGCCGTTACAATTCTTTTATGGCTTAACGTTGCCAGGTAGTCTTCTTTCTGTAAAAAAATTGAATTGTAGAATAATGTGATTTATCATTCAACCTTAATTTCAGAGTTGGTGATAATAAAGAATCCAAAGAGCAGCCAGTAGATGTGCTGCCATCCATATCCACCCATGAAGAGTCTCTGAGTGAAGAGGATGTATTAGTCACCAAGAAAGGTTTCTGTAAGGAAGATGCTCAGGAAATAGATGAGGTGAATTGCAAATAAATTAGACTTAGATGAGTTGTAAGATTTTAACAAGATTTATCTAAAACACAATGTGTAAAGGAATTTCTAGATTACCGTACCGTAAGGTGGAGTGACTTGATACATCTTTTCCTGTGCCAATTTTTCCTACATATCATTTGGCTTATTGTGGCTGAAAGACTTGGTGTCATTGTACACTACTTTGTATACTGTATCTGTTCTTTCAGGTGTTGGAGGAATTGAACTTGGTATTTCAGTGTTTGTTATTCAAATGAAAGTCACCAGTATATAAAAATGAAATAGGACCCAGTAAAAAAATAACTACAGTATTAAAATGAGAATGAGCATTGGTCTTAGTTTTGGGTTCACACTTAAAGATGGTAGACTGCTAAGTACAGTTGCATTGTTAATGTAGGGAGGGCATCATAAGTGTGCACTGAATGGTTGTTACTTAAAATATCTCAGTAACTCGGCTATATTGGTACAGTCTTTTGTGTTTTTATTATTAACTAACTAGAGGCTATCACCCACAGGCAACCTCACACACACAATTGGTTGTCATCTCCTTGGTGGCTGGAGCCATGGCTGGAGCTGTTGCCAAGACAACTATTGCACCTTTGGACAGAACTAAAATAAATTTCCAGGTTTGTAGTTTATTATACTGTATTTTTGTAATGTATACTAAATTGCATTTGTTTCATGGCAGTTCTCATGAAAGTATTTTCCTAAGTAGAACCCTTTTTCTAAATCCATCATGTTTTTGTTTATTTCAATAGCTGATACCTGAGAAACAGTGATATACATTATAGTTTAAAAGTATCTTTTCTTAGGTACAGTATATAATGTTAGTCATTTTTATTTATTACTTCTCATAACTACTGTATACTGTACTGTATATCACTGTTACCTGTTCTATAATGAACAGTTATACACTAATGTACTGGTAGCTGCAAGTAAAATTTCATCAATTCGTGACAATTGGCATCATAGTTAAAGATCATGTAAGTAAAGGAGATTGAGATTGTAACATTTTTTTATTCAAAAATTTCTTTGTGTAATTTTTGTTTTAACAGTCTTGACCTTTGGAAGTTTATTATATTTTATAAAAATGGCAGATGTCATTACAGTACATTATTTGTCATCTTGTTTTGTTTTAAATTGCAATTATAGCATAAAATTTACCAGAACACTACATTACTGTACTATAATATGCAATATGTATGAAGTTGTTCAGTGAAAGCATGAAAGGGTCTTGTACCTCCATTATCCTGTTTGCCATCAAGTGTGGAAACTAATACAATATGGGCTTAAATTCTCTGAGGATGATACCAGTCTAAAGTGGCAACAGCATTGAGGACATATGATAAGTTAGTTGAGGAGTTGGAGTTGTGATAATTATTTTAAAAATTCACAGAGGGAAAACTCTATCAATCATACTGCAAGTTACACATTTATCCTACCAGATAAATCCAGTACTGTACCGTAGTCCATGAAAGGGTTAAATTAAAAATATTTTTTTTCCTATGGTCATATTTTCTGCGGTCTCTGTTTAATTATATGAATAATGTACCATAATAGTTTCTTTTTTTATTTGCAGGCAACACAGCAAAAATTTTCTGCACGCCGTGCTCTTGGATTCGTGGGGGAGTGTTACAAAAAAGAAGGGCTTTTTAGTCTATGGCGGGGAAACTCTGCTACTATGGCACGCATTGTCCCTTATGCGGCCATTCAATTTACAGCTCATGAACAATATAAGAGAGTTCTCAGAGTTGATGCACCTAACAGAGAGTAGGTTAAATTTTCATTAGTTGCTAACATTAAAATACTTGATAGTTTTCATGTCTATGAAATGTGAGAGTTACATGAGTATGGCATTGTCCATTTTTTTTTTAAGTTGTAATGTCTCCTTAATTTGATTTGGTTTGTTTGACGTACAGTCTTTTCTTGGGCATATGCTCTTCATTATAAAATGAATCTTTATGTAATCTCAGGACACAGCTTTTCACTACTGCAGTTTATCATAAAACATGGAAATGTGTTCCGTAAGGTTGGGTGGGGTATTCATGAAATATTTTCTTCTGTTTCTACTGGGCCTGGCTGATGGACCATCATGGCACAAGGAAGCACTTAACAGAAGTAAATTGTTATTATTTCATAAGGAGGGAAGCTTATCTTAATACATGCTATACAACACCCCAGTTGGCTGGTTGCCCCATATGGGATGCCAAGATATTTTATGGTATCCTGGGATTGAGAGGAGTGCTTAGGGGTAGTTTTGGTAGGTCTGGGTCGATTCCATGTATAGCAACTTAGGGTCGCAACATGAAGGATCCCGGAAAATTAGATCACATGATCAGTGGGCGCCATTTTGTTGCCATCCGTGGATGAGTGATTTTTCTGAACATTATGCTGGGATGTTGTGCATTTGGATGCAGCTATAGGTCAGATAAAGGATATAAGATCCACAAATTCCCAACAGATCCTGAAAGAAGGAAAGTGCGGGAAAATAGAATCAGTTGTCTGGGTTGGAAAGCCATCATCATTGTGTCGAGGAAGTACAGTACTGTTAAACACTTGTAGAGATGCTTCCTCCTCTTTTACCTAGAAATTTATATCATAGAAAGTGAGAGTGAATAATATCCCCAAGAGAAGCAGATGATTGTAATAGTGGAAGATACCGGGTGAAGTCTAACCTCGTGCCCTCCCCTTTTTCCATATTATCTGTATTATTGTCATAATTATTTTGATAAAAATACAGGAAATATTCAACTTATCAGTTGTTTAAAAGGATACTCTGCAATACTGTACTGCATTTTGGTACAGTTTATATAATTATATGGTATATAATAGCAACAAGATGGCATCAATGACATCAAATTCAGATGGTCGCTACTCTCTCTTGTACAGGGACTTTAGGTCTAGGTATCTTAAGTTGTACCACTTGATTATTGGAACTGGAAATGATATTCTCAATCAAGTGATATACTGTTCTATGTACAAATATAGCCCCCAAAATGATTAATATCCTCAAATTCTGACCTCTTCAATTTAACAAATTGGTAGTTTGTGGTCATTTTTTGAAGTACCTGTAGGCCATTTTCCTCACTACTGTCTTTTTGGCAGTAACAGAGGTTGTGTCTTTATTGTGCCCGGAGGCCCCCCATTATGTATGACGGTCAATCAAGTGCTGGTAAACAAGATCAGAGTAGATTTCCTTCATTATTGCAAGAGCAGGTGACTGATGAGTACGGTACAGGATGCCAGACTGTGTATATTGTACTGTATATTGATTTTACTCTGAATGACTTGAATGTGGTTTCCCCAGTTTAGGTAGTCCTTGACAATCCCTGCTTCTACTCTCCCTTTTTAGGATAATGGTTGTAATTAGGAGGGTTACTATTCACATAATGAATATTATACAGTACATTCTGGTTCTGGGTTCAACCAGTAAGTAGTTTTCAGGATCAACCATTCTTTGTTTTATTTTCAGACCCAATTTACCGATCAATATAATCCTATTTTAAATAATTCGTCCTATATTATAAGACTGACTTTCACATGTATTTATTTCACTTTTTACTCATTAAAACCCATCTTATTTTACTCCTTAGCACTCCACCAATGTTAAGATTTTTGGCGGGTTCAATGGCCGGTGTAACATCACAGTTCCTAACTTACCCTTTAGACATGGCAAGAGCACGCATGGCTGTCACACACAAGGACACCTATTCTTCTCTACTGCAGGTTTGGCTGTTTTTGTTTATTGTTTATCTATGTCAGATTTTATTAAGTGTCAGACATTCCTTGAATATTAACATTTTTTCATTAGAATGAAAGGTACTGTAAAAATATAAATAATAATTGGAATCTGTAATGTTAGCTAAGCTGGGAGGGAAGATACAACTTTAAACAAAGACAATTTTTTTAAAAAAGTGGGAATTTCGGCATTTTGCGTAGTTTTCACGTGTTGTATGTAAGTTGTGGCTTCGGTAGAATACTGACTTGCACCACAGAGTGTGACCAGTCATAGGTGCACGAAGCTGTGGCACCACTTGCTAAGCCAATTAAAGCCCAGAATGTGAGGGTGTGTGGTCTTGGGAGAGGTAACCATAGTGTTTCTCAGACATTGCTATTATCAGACACCACATGAGTTCTCCAATTTTTCCTATGTAATTAGTGTTTCCAAGTGCATATTATGAGTTCAAGTGACAGTAAAAGTGTGGAGGAAGGTTGTGGGTATACAAGCAAGTATGTACCTGACTCCTCACAGTAGAAAAAGGAAGTGACAAAAAAGAAAGAAATCTGGGGGAATCTTATGTGAGTATAATGACCGGGAAAAGTGTAGAGGATCGGAAGATCGGATCCTCATTTGTCAATCTTTAGATCACAAACTGAAGATAGTATAATTATTCCTATCATGACATGTGGCAGTAAAACGTGGGTTTAACATAAAGAGAGTGATCTGAAGTTCAAATTTCAGCAATGTTACTGAGGACTGCATGTAAAGTTAACAGACTGGAAGGGCTAAGGTACAGTATAGTGAATTTTATAGGGTGTTCATAATGATGAGAAGACAGAGGATGTAGATTATGGTGATGGAATGGGTGAAGAGAGGTATTCAATGGTAATATGGACATGTGTGGAGAAGGCAGGAAGATAGGATGGAAAAGAAGGTACAGTATATAGAGGTAATACAGTAATGCAGGTGTATTAGAGAAGAGTAAGAGCCTATATGGTGAAAGGGAAAGGTAGAACTATACATTAGAGAGGGGAAAAGGGAAATGGATAAGGTAAACATAATATGAAGTGAAAAGGTGGTTTGGAAGCTTTTGTGGCAGTCCTCTCAGAGGGATACTTCCCAGGGGAGGGAGGCATTGCTGATGAGATTATGATAAAATTTTTACATATACTGTACAGTATTTTGATTTTGTATTCACGTCATTTTCTATTAAATTTAGTTACGCAGAACTATCACTAATATTCATTCTTTTTCAGGTATTTGTTAAGATATGGAAGAATGAAGGACCACTAACACTGTATAGAGGTTTAACACCAACTATGCTTGGTGTTATACCATATGCTGGTACAAGCTTTGGCATTTATGAAACTCTCAAGAAAAATCATCAAGGTATAGTAAAAATTTGAATTTGTATGACTTATTAATGATGAATACACTAATTTCCATACTTTTCTTGAAGTTACATCATGAAACCCCACATGAAAGGCATAAATTGCAAATACAGCTCCTCCCCGACTTACGACCTACCCGCACTTACGACTTGCCTCATTCGTACCAAAATTTTGTCAAATTACGTATTTTTGAGTCCCAAAGTCAGTACACAGAAAAAAATTTCGTTTGTAATTCACTTTAAAATGGCTGGCAAGCTTAAAAGTGAGAGTTTTGTAGTGCTGAGAAGAAAAGGAGACACCTATTTTAGATATTCTGTGCATTTTCCACTTAGGACCATTTCGACTTAGGACCATTTCGACTTACGACCTGGATTTGGGTCCCTAACCCCGTCGTAAGTCGGGGAGGAGCTGTAATACTAACACAAAATATTCTTGTTACAAAATGTGTTGCATCTCAAGACCACTCAAATATTAATATAGAAAACACATACCGGTAACTTGAATAGATGGCTACAGTACCAAAAAAATTTGTTTAAATGAAAAAATAGAAGAAGATAAATGTTACAGACACTTACATGATAGAGTGACCTAGACAAGCATCATCCGAGAGCGAATTGTTGAACAGCAAGTGCAATACCTGTAGTGTAGTTTATGCATTTCACTTACATTATCATGGGTTTTTCTGTGCTTACTTCACTTGGGTGATTTGGTAAAACTCTCTGTTGTACTCTTGGATGAATTTCAGATAGCATTGTGGCCCAGTAGTAGTAGGTCAGGTTCAAATGAAGTTTAGCCATTCATGGGACAGAACCTGATAGCATTTCTCAAGTTTTGTTATATCAGAGGTATTGTTAGCCTTGGTCCTTATGTGTTAAATGTTTCTTAGGTCAGTATAGAATCAGATGGATATCAGTTAAAACCTTTATTGCCTGATACCTCACTTGGGAATCTGTGAGGGTAGTTTTCTTTACTAATTTTCTTACTTTGTAGTTAATACCTGGTAGTGAGTGTGATTTTCCAAGTAGAGTGCATTGTTATGTGCCTCTTACCTCCTTGTTCTAGCTGATTTAGGCATTCATGAATCACCTGAGATTGGCACTAGGCTACAAATGAGGGATTGATCTTGAACTTCTTTATTCTAACTCTGATTCCCTCTCTCCCTTGATGTTTTATTGCCAATCCAGACAGAAGAGGATTGGGGAGCACATGGCAGTAAAGATGCTCAACTTTCTTTGCACAGGGGAAACTGCCACACCCTTCTTTCAACAAATTCAATTTTAAAAGTCTAGTCCTTAATTTTGGGCTCTGGTTTATGAAAGGAAGGAGTGGGATAGATGAAAAATTAATGGTAAAATTTGAATATGATATGGGAATATGAAGAGGATGGTGGTGAGTAAAGATAACAAAAAGTTTATGGAAATGAGGTACTGTAAATGAATAAAGTGACTATATGAGATAGAGGGCTTCTTGTCTAAACTGTGCAGGATTGGGGAAGCTCAAAAATGTGAGGAGGAGGCACTGTCGACACCATTTTATAGGCAGTGGGATATGATTTACAAGACAGAGATTGAGTAGTAATACTTAACTTTTTTCTTCAAAATGTGTTTGATGTTGCATTCACACAGCTAGTTTATTACATACAAATAATATATTCATTTACAAAATCCGAGTGATTGACCATCTGTACAGTGTGGGAACCCAACGTCAATACTATAATTTTTTTTTTTTAATCTTCATATTGGCGAGTGTCTAATGAATATTTATCATTTGCACTAATTACTAATTTTTATTTGTTATTTCTTTTCAGTGCATTCTGATCGAGACAAACCAAACCCATTAGAGAGAATGATGTTTGGGGCTGTGGCAGGTTTAGTTGGCCAGTCTTCATCCTACCCACTAGACATCGTTCGAAGACGTATGCAAACTGCAACTGTTACAGGCAATGGAAACTCCTATAAAACTATTATAGGAACCCTTTCCAAAGTGTACAGGTAAGAGTATATTTAGTTCCAGAGGCCTGATGGCCTGTTAGGGGCAGTGCATATACTGTACTATACCTTATATAAGAGTACGTTGGTACATAAGAGGAGTGTGGCCAGCACTGCACTCAACTACATGCACTTACTCAGGTGTAAAGATAGGTATGTACAATACTCACTATTGGAGATACTGAAATGGTGCCCCAGTGATCCTAAAAACAAAAATTAACTTATATATCCACTTAACAACCCCAACTATGAGAGTGGTACCAACCAAAGACTCCTTGTGTATCAAGGTCCAAGGGTTTGTATGCACTGCCTTTAATTGGCTGTGAGGCCTATGGGATCCATTTCACATCTTGTATATGGATATGGCTTTATTTAAATGGGTTGAAAATTGTCTGTCCAGTTAACTGTGGTCTCAAATCTGGGACTTTTATCTTGATTTGAGAGAACATCATTTGGGAGGGACCCACACAGGACTCATTGCATTTCAGTCTAAGATGTCATAATACTATTTTGGGTGATTACATTACTTGACATTGTAAGTTTTTAATGTTATGTTATATATTTACAGGGAAGAAGGGCTCTTCCATGGGCTCTACAAAGGTCTTTCCATGAACTGGATTAAAGGACCAATTGCCGTGGGCATTAGTTTCTCCACATTTGACACGCTTAAACTATCTCTTGAACAAATTCTGTTAAGTAGATAGCAGCTCCATTTGTACATTTAGTTGATAGTACTGGCTTGGAGGAGTAAATATATAACATTACAAATGTACATTGGTTGTGTAGTTAACTCTGGACACCATGAGAGAGCACTAAATTTACTGTTATAAATAATGCAATATTATGGTATAGTGTATGTTTTAGGAAGAAAACTGTAGTTCACCAGTGTGTCTTACATTTGTTCAGTGTAGTATATTTACAAAATGGTAGCAGACACATCATGTATGGTAATATTTTTTGATGTCCATTACATAGTACAATATTAGGCTGTATCTAGGCATTATAGCAGTCCACCAGTGCACTAAGAGAAGTATGTAATAAATCATATATATAAGTCTATGCTTAAATTGCATGAAATATTAGTGCAGTAAAGAATCGGGTAGTTTTATGTAGTTTCCCCTAATTTCATCATGGCTGCATTAGTGGTTTCTTATATATTTTTAATACTGTATACTGTAGGTGTGTTTCTTCACAAGGAATCTGAGTTACAATGCTTAATTTATCACTGAATGTGAAGGAATTATTTAACAAAGTTAATAGTATATACTGTATAAAAAAAAGACAGGCTATGCTGTTGTAATATATAATATGTAAAATAAACTGTACATTGATATAAGCTTGGTATTGCTGCCATTCACAGGAGTTGATATTTTACAGTGCAGTATGTTATCATCATTGCTGGCAGACTGTATTCGTAGTTTGTGAGTACAGTACAGTTACTGCTAATTAACTGCATCCATATCAATCTTAATTGGCCATTTGTCTTCATAAGAGTTTTTATATGTGGCAGACATCAAGGAATATGTGGAAATACATTGTTGTGACTCCACTATGGTAACTATAAAGATGAACTGTACTTAGACTTAGTACAGTATTACTATGATAACCTTGAAGGCATGTATATTGTAGATACAGTTATGTGTCTTTACTATGATTTACTGTATACTTAAGATTGATAGAATATCTATCAATTACAGTAGTGAAAGCTTCTCAAATAAAACATATTAATTGTAGTTTATCATGGTTGATTTTTAAGATAACTTTTTGTATTAAGATTTACATGCACAGGAATATGTATCTTTATTTGAAAAACCTAATTTCCAGCACATGTAATATGTATTTTATGATTTAATGCCTTTCACTGGTTTAGGATCTAAGAACCTCTAACATAGATGAGGCTGGGACTGATCTTATAACCAATATTACTTTCCCATCACAAGTAGGGCCTCAGGCCACAAAACAGACAGAAGTGTCCCTCACAGAGAGTAGGGAACTAGAAGCTAGCAGGTCTTGATGTCACACTGATATGCAATTCACCAAGCCAAATGGGTCAGCCATCTTCGGTGCATTGTAGGGTCACCCATTCAGTTCTACACAACTGTTACCCGTATCATCTAACCTGTTAGTGTGAAGTGTTTTTTATTTCTCTTGCAAACTTGATACCTTTTTTGTGTCGGTATACAAAGTTGTGTTTTTTTTTTTCCAGCCAGTGAAGTCTGGGCATTGTTTGGTCAGGTTAGTTACTGGAAGTACTAGATTCACCAAGCAGAAGGCATTAAGTCATCAATGCAAGTTGAATCCTAAAATTCTATTTTATGATTTAGGCTTTTTTTTTTTTTTTTACGGGGATTGGCCCACCCACCCACAGGTCAACGACCCACATCGGGGCCTAGGGGGCGAAAAAAAAATTAAGAAATTAAAAATAGAAAAGGATAAGGTTACGTATATTAATCTACACCGCGAAGATGCCGGAAAACCAGCTTTTTAAAGAGAGACTTTGTATGAGAATAGAAACACAGAAGAAGGCAGAGCATTTTACAGTTTGACTGTGTGAGGAAAGAAGGATGTACTATAACTGGTTATTCTAGTGTGACCGACATCCACAGAGAAATGGTGGGCACCGCGGGCAAGACATATGTTAGGAGCCCACAGTCTTGCCAGCGGTACACGGGATGCCAAATCCACTGAACATTGCCCGTTAAAGTACCTGTAAAAGAGAGAGTGAAGTAACATTGCGGCGAAGAGAAAGGGAAGAAAGATTGTCAACGAAAGGAGGAGAGTTAATAAGACGAAATGTCTTTGATTCCAACTTATCTAACAGTTGGAAAGAAGAGCCACCCTAGATATGAGAGCAGTACCCCAAGTTAGGACGAATGAATCCTTATATACTTAAAGCAACTGCTCAGGAGTGAAGTAGCTACGGCCTCTGTACAGCATTCCCAACTTTCAGGAGGCAGCTTTAGCAATGTTGAGGATGTGTGGCTTCCATGACATATAAGAGGAAATAGTGAGGCCTAGCATATCTATTTTAGAATTTGGCGGAATGATAGCATCCTGAAATGTGACACCCTCCTTTCTCCCAAGGTTAGTGAAAGTTATTTGGAATTTAATAGATGATCTTGGAATCCATCCAAGATGGATGACTCATTCAACTTGGTGGAATTACATGCCATTATGACACAACAACTTCTTATTCTCCAACCCTCTCTTGTCCATGATGGAAACCCTCACTTGATTTGCCATTAGGTTGAGTCCCTGCTTCCAATGGGGAAGTAGATTGAACATAAGGTTGGTCCAAGTCATAACAATGTAAGAGGTTCCTAGGTCTTAATCCCAGATCATAATTTATACAGGTTACCAAACTATGAACTCACTCAGTTATATGAAGAGATTTCAGGATCAGTTCAGCATGTATTAATCAATTCTATTGTGATAGTGATTAGGAAAATGTCAAATAATTGTTTTGTGATTTAAGGAGAATTGGTAATCCTTAAAAATTTAATGGCTTGTAAAGAGAGCAAAGAAAGGCAGATGTAGGAGTCATACAGTGTATATATATATATATATATATATATATATATATATATATATATATATATATATATATATATATATATATATATATATATATATATATATATATATATATATATATATATATATATATTATTTTCATTATTTCACCAACATTTTTACCATTGCAGTTCTCCACCCATTATAAATACAATAGTCCTATGTAAAATATACTTCGTACACAAACCTGTTTCTTCAGCTATTCAGTTGTGGCTCAGTGGGAAGAGTCTGGTGCCTACTTCCATGGCTTTTTCTGTTGGCCGTGAGTCAGCTGTCACATGGAGGGAGAGTAAGGTCTTGCCAGGTTTGTCAAATAGTACACTATACAGTATAGTAATTCTTATATAGATATGACAATTTTTGAGGCTATATCACTGCTTTCTACATAGAGCTGATAATGTTTAAGGTTTACTCATGTTGGTATATGGTGCATGATATTAATGAGTGGACCTTTTAGAGTGATTAGATAGTTTGCTGATATCCCCTCCTGCACAATTTGTGGTCAGCAAAAATATTGGTATACAATATTGCATAAATAAATGTGTTCAGTAAAAATACACAAGAAAATACCCAGAGTATTTAAATTCTCTGCACTGGACATTTCGTTCTGAAAACTGTGTTTACGTCTGGTCTTGTCATGCATCGGTTCACTGCTGAATAGCCAGCCAGCTGCATAGACCAGTCTATTCAACCGGTGACGGCTGAATATCCTGCCTGTCTATGCAGCCAGAACCAGACTATTCAACTGGATAAAGCTCAATAGCCACTGTGATAAAAGAAAGAAAAAAATGGCGGGGGGGGAGAGGTAATGGGTCATATCTACACTCTGAAGGGATCGTACAGGGGGAAACAGTTGTAGGCCCTTCCAGACACACCACCCATGCCTCTTTTCAATTGAGGTTGGGTCTTTGCTCATTTCAAAGCTTTGTTAAATGGGTACAGTATGGACATTGGCACAATATATGTACAGTATTCATTGAGGCTGTTTTCCTAGGGAGTTATTTTTTCCAGAACCTAGAAAATTGGTGCCTTTCTGCAATATTACTTAGTAGATATTTCCCCTATTTGAATTAAAATAGGGATGGGTTATGTAGTTCAATTTACATAGCTTTTGGGGGAATAGCCGGAACAATACATTTAGCTGTACAGTCTATACTGTAGTTAATTTCACTTGGAAGATGTATTACTATGGAATTATAGAGTATATTAAAAACTATTACAATGTACTGTAAAGATTTAAGTGAAATGGTAAATAGAGAATAAATATAGTAGGTACAGAGTACGTATATAGTAACCAGGGAGTTATGGTGGGATGAATTTTCTTGTCTGCAGTATCCGTCTGTTTTAATTGATAAAAATGCAAGCTTAGTACATATGGGTTAAAGTACATTTCTCTTAGAATATTGGATTGCTTCACATTTAGTCGTGAAATTCATTGATAAATATATTTGTTTCTTTTAATGAAAATAAATAAGATAATGAAAATATTTTCTGAATATTATAAGCAACACTATTGATATAAGTGTCACATAGCAAAATATGACCAGTAAAGAGTAAATTGTCGAGATAGATTTTATGTGACTGTTTTTGGATTAAGAGCGTGACTGATGAGAAATGAAGAGGTTTGAAATACTGTACTGTACAATAGTGTATAATGTTGAATTGTTTGAGATATTCTGGATATAGGATGGTTGATAATGAGATTTAATATTATTTTATTATTGCTGTGCCTCTCTACCTTGGACCTCCTACACCTTGAAAACTCTATTGGTTTGATTGGAAAAAATCTAACTATAATTTTCAGGCTGTATACACCTTGGCTGTGGTCAAAATATATTTGACTAAATCCAACATCAAAGCTCCATTCAAAGATTAGACTTGTATCATTGAGGTTGCATTAAGAGGTGTCAGATGTCCAAATCTTTTCATGATTATATACTGTAGTAGTGAAAGAAACACTTTGGAAATTATGAGCTTGCTATACAGTTTTCTGTTTAAAGTATTGAAAATTTTGCTTATTACTGTTTCTGATTTGAATTCATGAATTGCAGTCAAGCATATTTAGGCTTTACCTCCCCATTCATACATACGGACACATAATATACTTTTTACCTCCCTCCCACTTCCCAAACACACACACACCCGAATGCACACTGAGTGACATAAGAGATAATTTTTCTTGGGGTTTATTTTTATATATTGCTTTATTCAAAGTATTCTTGATACTATGCTCGAAGTATTTACTCCATGAAGGATGTAAACTGTGTAAGAAAACACGTTTCAAAGTTCCCTTATTTTGGTATTTAATCTACCCAAGCCTGACCATTTGCCCCCACCTTACCCCTATAGACTTATAAGTTCCATACACGCATCAGAGATGGGAGGCATTATGCAAGTGAATGCAATATTATATAATATATTGGAGGTGCCTATACTTTAGTATGGCTTTCTGTATATTAATCTCATTATTAGAACAGTGTTTATGTATCTGCCAGTTTATAAATGCACATATGCATGCTTTCTAAATACACGTGCTGTATCAGCTTCGTGAACATTTTTAAACAGTGGGTTCAAGTGTTTTTGATGCCACCTGTCCGTACCTGCTTCCCTACATCAACCAAGTAAAATAGGGGTTTAGATTACTTGTGCAGCCTTTGCAATTAATTTTATTCATTTATATTTGTATTGCTGTCTTATAATGTTGAGAGGATTTCATTTTTATTTGCTGATTATGAGGGATTTGGGAAGCTTTCTCTCTATACCTCAGTCCAGGTGTTATCGTCATTAGTCTTAGCTAGAGAGGCAATACTTTACACCATGTAAAATTGCATAGAGACCAAAGGCTCCTTAAATTAGAATCGGGTAAGATTCAAGTATCAAGGATGTGGAAGATGCAAGTTATTTTAATTGTGGAGGATGGCAGTTAATATTTCAGGAAGATTCTTTCTTTTATGCTCCTATAAATATGGAGACTAGTGAATGGATAGTATAGTTGCTAGAATAAATATTTATAAAACTAATACTGTATAGAAGACTTATTTTATATTTAGAAAACTAATATTGTGTATCATACATTGTAGAGATTACTGCTAATATGAAGTCTGCAGTTTTATATTCAAATATGTACGTATATAAAATATATTTTTCTTTGAGAACATGTTTGACATTGGTTTATGGAACTAATATTTTTTTATGGTTTTAAGCCTTTTCCTGTTTGGATGTAGAGTGGCTGGACAGGTAATTGCCTGATTCTTAGCCTATAGCAGTTAATGGCAAGGTGCTATTTCAAGGAGGGGTTGTTCACTCCAGTCAAGGACACCCGATAGTGTGCTCATTTTTTTACAGTGTGTGTGCGCAAGTATCCTGTCCTTTTCTTTTGTTTATGTGTGAGTACATACATTCATGTGCATATGTGTGTGTATTTATTAAAAAACAGTGACGGAAAATGTATTTGAAAATGTGCCTCCAGTAAAAGCATAAATGTAGCTTTCTTTAAGACTACTTCACTGAATATTAAATAAATATATTAGGTAATGAGAAAAAGTTAAGAATAACAAACTTGCCTTTATTTACATTATTTTAGCAAAACAAAGAATTGGGTTTTACCAACAGGTGATCTTCAAAGCTGAATTCCAGTATTACAGCTGTACAAGAATTCATATGTTGCAGAAGCATTTTGGGGAGTGTTGATATATATTAAAAAATTCATTATATACATTTATAGACTCACAACAAAAATGCATCCTGATGTGAAGGCATGTTCATG